GACTTCAAACTTTATGTAAACTTTGAATCCAGTGAATCTCCAAGAAAAGCAGTCTGCTGCAAAAATCATTAAATCAACCAGATAGTTTTTGAACCATCATTTTTTTTAATAGCGAATGCTGATTTAAGACTAAAGTAATTTATTTAAGTGGTGGTTCACAAGCATGATATGTTTTTAAAATTGTAATAATAGTGAAGATAATAACATTTGCTGAGTGCTATGTGCCATGTACTCTTTAAAGTGCTTTATGTGTATTATTGCATTTAAGCCTCACAGCAACCTTAAGAGTTGGGTGATATCTACATTTTACAGATGAGGAAACAAGCACAGAGAAGTTGTTTCTTGTCTGAGGTCCTATAATTAAAGGGGTAGAAGAGTGTAGCTCTAGAGCTTGCATCCTTATTGCTATACAATAATAGCAATTATATAAGTTTATAGTGGTATTAAATAATATCATAAAATGTGTGTAAATATATATACGTAACGTTATAAAATAATGTCAATACATCTAGTGCAGACTTGAGTTCTTATTTGTTATTTTCATTGGGAAAGTGTAAGTGGCAGTAACTATCAGTACTTGCTTTATTTAAATTTTGTGAAAATTATTTTACTGTGTACTCCTTTAACTCTTTTTTGGAGATAGGAGGGAAGAAAGTACACAAATAAAAATATGATGTTTTGGTACCTGCACTCTATGAGAAAGGAAGCGTGTAAAATTGTAAACTGTTTAAACAAAACTTTTTTTTTCAACCATTTCTATTTCTTAGAACAGTTATGATATTTTTACTGTTTTAGTGTAGTCATCATGTAATCAAATAATTCAACCTAAGAAAAAATTGGTTCTGTAATATAAAGTCAGGGGTATGGATATCCTTGAATAATTTATTGAAACAAGGATGTATTAATATAGATTGTGTTTAATATTAATTTTAGGTAAAGATTGACTGCTTAATGAAAATTTATAAAATTACTTGTATTTTCTGGAGCCCTGGTGGCGCAGTTGTTAGGAGCTCGGCTGCTAACCAAAGGGTCGGCAGTTTGAATCCACCAGCTGCTCCTTGGAAACCCTATGGAGTAGTTCTACTCTTTCCTATAGGGTTGCTATGAGTTGGATTCCACTTGATGGCAACAGGTTTGGTTTTGGTTTACTCATATTTTCTTGTCTCTTTTTTTTTTGACCAAGTGGTAAATGAGAATGTTAGCCTCGTGATCTCTCGACAGTTGCTGACTGACTTCTGCACGCATCTCCCTAACCTGCCTGACAGTACAGCCAAAGAAATCTATCATTTCACCTTGGAAAAGATCCAGCCTAGAGTAATTTCATTTGAGGAGCAGGTAAAAAGAAACGAACAGTCCCAATGTAATAAAACCTAGAGCAGTGGTATTTGAACTTGAGATAGCAGCAGTTAGTTTTAGAGGCATTATTAAATTGTTGGAGCCATGGTGGTGCAGTTGTTAAAGCGCTCTGATGCCAACGAAAAGGTGACGGTTCGAACCTACCAGCTGCTCCACAAGAGAAAGATGTGGCGTGGCAGTCTGCTTCCATAAAGATTATTGCCTTAGAAACCATTTGGGGCCGTTCTACTCTGACCTATAGGGTCACTGTGAGTCGGAATCTCCTTGATGGCAGTGGGTTTATTAAATTCTTAAACGAAATAATCATTCAGTTTTATTTTTGACAAAATTGTGTACCAAACAGCATTTTACAGTGTAAAATAAGTATTAGAATGTTGCAGCTCCAACTGATAGTTGCTTATATATTGCAGTATGAACTTACAAACCAAATATTATACTTGATACAATTTTGAAAAACCAGTAAGACTGTTAATCAGGCTGAAACATAGGAGAACTCCAGTATTGTATATGCAGTAATATAAAAGCAAAATTTAATACTTAAAATATTGCCATAATCCACTATCCAAATTACACTAGTGTTATTTCAGTTCACTCTTTTGATATTCTGTGAATTTAAAATTCATTAAAAAATTGAGGTGGTCTAGATAAGCTTTTACTATTTAATTGCCAGGTTAATATGTTGAATGAGAGCATTGTCACTATAGTTATACTTATTTATTTTAATTAGTTACTAATGTCAGTTGAAATAATTAAACATTTATACATACTATTCCAGGTTGCTTCAATAAGACAGCATCTTGCATCCATATATGAGAAAGAAGAAGATTGGAGAAATGCAGCCCAAGTGTTGGTGGGAATTCCTTTGGAAACAGGACAAAAGTATAGTAAATAGTGGATATTGGATGGATAAATAGAATTGTTTTCCTACATTTTTTCTTACACTGTAGTGGGGAAAATAGCTAATAAACAGTGAATTTAATAAATAAAATTTGTAATATGTTAAAAGGCTATAAGTGCTATGGAGAAAAGAAAAGTGAGTAATGGGGCAAAGGGAGAGGCAGGTTGTATCATTAAACAGAGTGGTTGGGGTGGTCCTCATTGCTCTAGTGTCACCTTCTCATAGACTTGAAGGAGGTAATGAGGTAGCCATGCAGCTATCTGAGGGAAGAGTATCAGAGGGGATGATTATTGAAAAGGCCCTAAGATAGGAGCACGCCTGAGATGTTTAAAGAAGAGCAAGGAGGTCAGTGTGGGTGGAATGGAGTGAGCAAAGGAGAGACAGGTAGGGGATGTGATGGAGTAATGGGGACCAGATCACGTAGGTCCTTGTAAGCTGTGGTAAGGACTTTGGCCTTTCTCTAAGTAAAATGAGGGAAAGCCAATGGAGGCCTTTTTTTTCTTTGTATATGTAATTCCAATATGTGAATAAATGAGTCTAATTACACTAACCACTGCCCAAAAGAGAGCCAGGAGAAACTAAGGAAGATGGGAAAAGGAAAAGAGCAAATGCGGTAATTTGAAAGTATATGAAATATGGACATTATTTCTAAATCAAATATAGGTGACAAAAGAAAATATTATTTTCGATAACAGAAATATATGTGGTAAGTGAAATATCAGGACACAGAACAGTGTATTCATGAGAAAATATCACATGGCGTTTCGAAGAAGCAAATTTAGTGCACAAAATTTGGTTGTCTTATCAGAAAGAATCATGTGACTTTTTTTTTGATGAACTGCTCTTTTTTTTTTTCCACTGACTTTTTTTTTCTTTTCTTAATTATTGTACTTTAGGTGAAGGTTTAAAGAACAAACCAGCTTCTCATTAAACAGTACACAGTACACATATTTTTTTATGACATTGGTTACCAACCCCACAACATGTCAACACTCTCCCTGTTCGACCTTGAGTTCCCTATTACCAGCTTTCCTGTCCCCTCCTGACTTCTTGTCCTTGCCCCTGGCCTGGTGTGCTGCCTTGGTCTCATTTTGTTTTATGGGCCTGTCTAATCTTTGGCTGAAGGGTGAACCTTGGGAGTGACTTCATTACTGAGCTAAAAGGGTGTCCGGGAGCCATACTCT